CATCGAAATCGGTCATAATACTTTGAAGATGCTCATCATTTTCAGCTATTAAAGCATGATAAATAAGATTAGGATAGAAATAGCCATCATCAGGGAAGGTATTCCACTTTCCATCGCACTGCTTACGGTAACCATCGATCAACGTTTTGTTTAAACTCTTGCGATAATCTTGATTGGAATTGTGCGAGTAGAGTCGTTGCTGTAGATAGTCGACCATCAAATCGTGTAGAACACAGTGCGATCTTGACAAAGTAATGGAAATCAATGGGATTAATACTATTTACAGTAGTCAATACAAGGCTATCGATTGTAGCACTGCATTGAGAATTGATACAATTATGGCGTATGTAAAACTATGCATTGAATAGCACTGGCTCGATTATTGAGAAGAACATATTGGGTAGTCATTGCAGATGAATTGGATTACAGAATCAAATTACTTTAGACGATAGCAAATCATAATTTACTATCAAACTAAACAGTAGCTAATAGAAAAGATTAATTAAATAAAAGTAGTATTGGCTAGTTATCACTAAAAGAGAAAAAGAGCCTTATGGAAGAGGGTTAGAATTCAATTTACTGTGTAGAATATTGTGTGCAATGTGCAGTGTGTATACAAGGCTTGCTTTGTAGACATACTTTCGTAGATCGCTTGAAGATGGAAGAGGAAAATAGCAAATGCCGATTGACTACGTTAGGTAAGACAATTTATACTTCACAATATAATATTTGTATTATTAATGATGGAAGTGAAAGCGTCACAACTTCAAATTTTACTAGTAACCTTAATATGGTGATAATGTTGATTTAGTAGATAAAAAAGGCGACAAAACTAATAGCGCAATATTATCAACCTACAACTAACGATTGATAGATATTCTTATTCTGTACAGTATTTGCAGAATTAATATAGCAGCCTATGTACAGTCGTCAAAACATAGAATAGGCAATCATCGTAACTAGTATGACCTTTTTATAAATCGTGATAGAACCCCAATATATTAACAAGTAGATAAAAAAGTATATGTTCTGTATGTTACAGATTGCATATATCCGCTTATTGCACTTGTATTCCAATAACTAAATATATCTACAAGTTATACTCGTTCAATCTGTTCATTCCATACCTATAAGGCATTGCAAAATTACTCCATTACCTTAACTTGGGCATACAGTATTCTAACCAAAATTAACATAAAGCAGATATATGATAGCTTATTCGACATGCAAGTACTGTACAGTCACAATCCATTTAAAATACTTATCAATCTGTTCATTCTATATCTATAACTATATATGCCTACAAGGACACACTAGGTCATGCTTTGAATATTAAAATATAAAGCATTGCAAAATTGGACATCACTCAATTAAGTTAACTTGGATATGCAGTATTCTACTCTACCCCAAAATTAAAAAATAATTAGTTTTCAAACATGATTAATGCTCTAAATGTATAGGAATTTACTTTGTGTCTATTTCAATACATTCTACGAACCGAAATCTGATTAAACTTACTTTTCTTCATCATATGTAAGTAATGATTTGTTATGCATTCTCTTTACGAGAGGACGAGCTTCGATTACATTGTAGTTCCATAACGATGCAATAGATTGAATAGGAATACTGACTCGCTTAAATACAGCTAGTTGCTCAAATAATTGTTTATTCTCATTTTCCAAAGAATTAACACTTAATTCTAAAGTCCCGTATAGATTGAAACCGTAATGAGCTAATTCAATATCTGCAGACTTTTTGGCAATGATATCCTTTGCTTGATTCCACTCTTCATCAGTTTTTAAGTCAAGACCACCAATTAAAGTGATAGCTAATGGTAAACCTTGACAACTGTCGATAACATTCTTGACAACTGGATTTTGACGCAATGTCTGATCATTATCATTAACGGCAAGTAACGCAAGCAGTTCTATAGCTTCATCGTACGTTAGATTTTCCTATACAAGAGAGTATATGAAATAAGAATTGTATTCATCATAATTGTTCGGATAGGTTACTTAATGACAAAATAGAGAAATCATGGCGGTGAAGTTTTCCTCAACGATAACACTATACTGCAATATATAACAAACTGAATTACAAAACTAACCGATAAACGGATGCAGTGATGGTCGAGCTCATTTTCTAGATACTTAAATCGTGAAGTAGAGATTGACTTCTTGGCAAAAGATAAGTATTCGTAATGATCCTTTTTCCAGATATCGTCGAAAATAAATAGCGTCTCGGATAGTCGGCGATTTGCTGTTATAAGAATAATCAAATACCTATTAATGCTGTACCTTAAATATAATTCAAGTTGACATGGAATTACTTATAAAAGGCTCAAAAATCACCTTCTAGACTAGAACTGAGATAAGCACAAATCTCGCTCATAGATTGAATATTCTCTTTCCATTCCATATTAAGTCTGATACCTAATGTCTTCAGTTTCTGGCGTAATTCGATATTAGATATATTGCCTAAATTAAGATAAATATGAATCATCATCGCTGCTTTAAACAAGCATAGCAATTTAACGACCTTCGACAGCGCGTACATTTCAACAAAGTTAAGTTTAAAGGATCTAACAAATATCTATCTCTTTTCCCATCTCATCTTGCGTTTTAGAGCATTTTACTTTATTTGCTCCAGTAGATAAAGGGTTCGTCAATAACATGATAACCCACTTATCGTTAATGCCTAAAGATATAACCCTAACAAAATTATGGTTCGATTTCATTTTATCTCTCGACGTAATATTGCCTAAAAATAGTACACAATCATAATACTTTCCACTACTGGTTAAATATGGCCAAATTTTTTAAAGGGGAAAAATTCCACGGTGTCATGATTTTTAAATCAGGTAACAGTTATTAATTTGAATAGGAATTTATAGTTGATTCTCATGTACTAGAAAGTATACTTTACTGTACTATTAATTATAAATGGTCATCACTTTCAACGTCATTGAATGCGGTAAGGCAACTATTTTACTATATCGTAGTCTGTAATTACCTTTGCTACATTATTTTCATACAAATAAATGCTCTTATTATTATAATTGAACTACGAGTTAAAGTTATCTTACTAGAAGCTCGATAAATATTGAAAAATTAAAAACTATGATCATTACATGGTAGCCTACTTGATGGTATTTACTCATAAAATAAGGTTTGAACTTATTTATCTCTTGGCAATACTTTTATCGATTCCATAAGAACAATGTTCTCATCTCGTACTTCTTATAATTCTTCTAATGGTAATAGCAAATGCTTTCGGTCCGAAGTAGATAAGGGACTGGCGAGGTAAGCTTATGCTCTACTCCAAATTCGAATTGATCAATTTTACAGATACATTGTATGGATAATTGTACAGTAATAGTCGCCCAAATACATTACTTATTAATACTTGAAATATCATCTATAAGACTTACAAACTTACCGATTTTCATCCAGTAACAGCCATTTGATTTAAATAAGCCCTTTTTAGTAGCTTGTCTAACAGACTGGCAAACAGTTGTTGTTTTACCACTACCAGCCATACCATGTATTAAAATTTTACCATTTGACTTGTCTATTTCCTGTAATTGAGTACAAATTTCGTCTACACTTTCCTTCCTTATAACGTAGTGACTGTTTGGAGTCGGAGGAAGCTGTCGAAGAGGAATTTCTAATTGTGGAATGAATTATGTAGTATGGAGAATTTAATAAATTGGAAAGGACATGTCACAATTGCCTTTCGTCTTTAGCGTTGAGCAAGAACGATTATTTTCGCACTATAAATGAAACTCATAGTAAATGTTTATGAAATTAACGGTACAATAACTGGCATATTCAAAACTTGCACTGGATAAACACGACTAGTAAAACTCAACAAACAATATCCTTAATCTAGTAGCAAGAGCGTTTGAACGTCTAATGAATTTCTAAAGTGATTTTTGATATAAAAAAGAATAGGTTTTATCGCAGATTTAACGAA